ATAATAATAATAATAATAATAATAATAATAATAATAATAATAATAATAATAATAATATGATAATTTGTGATGTTGCTATTCTTATACAACATCATGGAGAACATGATATAAAAATACAAATCATGCCCTATATTTCATTGCATAAGTCAACCCATTATTTGATTGTTCACCCTGGAAGCATTCTGACAGAGTACAACATACAGTGAACTAGTCTGGTCCACTCTGATTTACATGTAAAATATAAGTCAAGGAACTGCAACAAAAGTGGATCTTGTTCCATTACTACAAACAAATTTGGAGATCTATCTCCCCATTTTTCTGGGGCTTTCCCAAGTAATATGCTGTATTACTGAAAATTCTGAGACTCCTTTGAATTTGCTGATATTGCCCTCTTGTGGATGGCACCAATGTAATAGCATAAATATTCATATTTGGAAAAATAGCTTGAATAAATATATGGTGATGAATATAGATTATAGATCATCAATCTCAATTTGATCAGGGCAAATAGAGAGGTAGATAAGTTTTAATTGGTTTTACCTGTGACATGAAGTTTCAAGAAGACAACTGCAAAAACAAAGCAAGACAGGAATGAAAGCCAGTACTCCTTACATTCTGGGTTTTATTTAAATGAATGAAATATTTTCAAGCCGAAACATTCAGAAAGAAGTTCTATTTTAGAAATACAGAAACAGTTGCAAATAACATCAGAGGAAATCAGGCTCTTTCAAGTCAAGCTCATGTAGTGACTTTATTGATACGCTTATACAATATTTTTGGCAAGAGCATGGAAGTTGTATGCCATTGTTACTCCACATTTTTCAGCTTGCAACCCTAGTATAGCTTTGGTATACATAAATATTATAAATAACATTGTAATTTCCAAGAGAGCATATTCTAAGACAATTTATGCTTCTCTGGTTTTGATTTAATTTGTACATCTTAAGGCACAGCTTGCTTAATAATTGCTTATTGAATAAACCTTAGTGTCTGTCTATAAGACACAATGGCTGAGTTTACAACTCTAAATCATAATACTGAATTTGCTTGATCTTGTATCAAATATGAATCCAGACAATATTTCTTTTTTCTGTCTTAGCTTGTTGTTAATATTTTTTTTCCTTACAGACTCTCCCATCATCAATATTTAAGTAATTGGCACTTTATACTAAACAAGTCTGATTTCCAGAAAACTATTCTGCATAAAAACATACAATATATTAGGACACATTGGAAACTTCATGGCATTGTCTTCTGATAATTTCGTCAGTTCATGAAATAACTAGGGCTTATGCAGATAAGGAATCTATCTTAGATAATGGTAATATGGTTGACATTGGATCCGGCCATTTGATATTTTTGTGTTCATTGCATAAATTGAGTTGCCAGTACCGAGGTTTAGATATAACTAATATTCTATGAAGCTTCTATATGTGGAAACAGAAAATATGTCCCCTTTGTTTCAGGGAGAATATCCTAGGCCAGTCCTGGATCTAGTCTAGTTCCCAGAGTTTGTTTTTTTCCTGGGTCATCTCAAAGTCAAGCTTACAATAAATATATCAGTTGCAGAACAGACCTTTCATTTAATGACTGACAATCAAATAGTCCAATTCAGCATGTTCTTTATATTCTCTTCACCATTCCAAATATAAATTAACAATACAATGGTTTTCTTAGTTATGTCTCTGCAGACCTGGTACTCTTAGTTAAACCAATTTCAATTCTAGCCACTGTCAATCACAGTTCTATCACATCAATACTGCAAAATAAGCTGACTTAGAACTTGAAGCAGTGAACTTGACATATCCAGCCATGATAATGAAGAACACTTTCTGAAATATCAGCACAAACTGGAACCAGAAAAAAGAATATAGGTGGTCCTTACAACAGGTGATTTAGTGACCATTTCATGTTACAATGGACTCCCCAAAAGGTACTTACAAACCAGATTTGAAGTTCTGATGGCTGCCCCCCCCCCATGGAGACAAGACCACATTTGGTGTGCTCGGTGATAGGCCTACATTTACAGCCATTTGCAATGTTCCATGGTCACATCGATGTAATTTACATTTTTACAAAAAATCGGTGTTTACTTCCAGTTTTTGGCAAAAACATCCATTATGAAAAAAATGGGATTCATTTAACAAAAACATATTCATTTAATGATCAAGATGATTCACTTAACCGCTGCAAAATTGGTAATAAAATTAGATGGTCATGCAAGAACCCAATTTATGACCATCACGACTTATGATGATAACAGGCAGACTCCATTATGACTGTAAGTTGAAAACTTCCTGTAAAGCTCTATTGTCTCAACAGATGAGACAGATCTGCAAAAACCAATTGTTGTCCTTTCCCAAATAGAAGATTTAAGATGAACAGACATTTTAAAAAGAAAAAGCAGCACAACTGTCTACATGTGTATGTTCTCCTTTATGTACAGGTAATCCTCAACTTACAATCATTCATTTAGTGACCATTTGAAGTTACAATGGCAATAAAAATGACATGGCTGTTTTCATACTTACAACCATTGCAGCATCCCTGTGATCCCCTGATCAAAATTCAGATGCTTGGCAACTGGAATGTATTTATGATGGTCACAGTGTCCCAGGGTCACCTTTGCAACCTTTTCACATGCAAAGTCAATGGGGAAGCCAGATTCATTTAACAGATATGCTACTAATTTAATAATTGCAGTGATTCAATTAACAACTCTTGCAAGAAAAATGTAAAATGGGACAAAATTCACTTAACAATGTTCTTACTTAGCAACAGAAATTTTGGATTCAATTGGGATTGTAAATCAAGGACTACTTGTAATTTCTGGAACAAGTACATAAAGGATTTTTGCCCATGTTTTGCTATCTGAGGAGATGGCAGGAATGTTTTTTATTAAAAATTACTTAGGTGCCTGTGAGTTCTTAACATTTTAATCCTTTTCTCTGGATTTCTAGAATCAAAATTGCAGGGAGGGGATATATTTATGCATGAATAACTAGATGGACCAAAAAATATTTTTACTTCCATCCTCTCATCATATAACCTGCTTTCTAATCTGTTGCAAAACAGCTTTAAACTACATTAAGTACAGCCAAGCCTATTAAGAGTGCTGATCTCTGGTGATCTGTGTTTAAAATAAATCAGAATCAATTTATTATAACTCATTAACCTCACAAACCCGAAGCAGCTATTGTAGATTAAATGAATGCAAAAAATAGGGTAGCAGCCATAAAGCAAGCACTACTCACCCAGAAAGGACAAGGAGGACTGCATGATGTCAATGGCAGGATCAGTGAGTTGCCTGATTGCAAAGGCAAATTAGAAGCAATAAAGACAGAAGACCCAGGCTGTGAGTCAGCCAGGCAGAAAGTAGGAAACACCCCTGCTTTGCCCTGGGTCATGTAACTTCCAATCTGCAGCCTGGGAAGAAAAGAACCAGGCCAAGGAGGAGAAATTCCCACAAGACTAAGCCTGGTGTGAGAGTCATATCTGAGACATTTCTCTAAAACTTTTCAAGAGAGCCACTTAAGAGGGACCCTTAGCTAGATTGTTGTATCTGTCAAAGGAAAACTTTAAAATTCATATTGATTATGCAGCAATTATACTAATGTGTCTAGTTAGCTCCTTTCAAACTTTTTAAAACCATCATTTTTCCTGAAACACAGCTTCTAATTCACTTATATATGTGAATCCTGGCCAGAAATAGACACAATCTTTCCAAGATGTCCTCTCATTATTTCTCACAGCATTTGTGTTTTTAACCGTGGGACATAATGCTTTTTCCATGCAGTATTCCGGAGTCATGTAATTTCCATTTGCATCCTTCCCAGCCAGCTTTTGACAAGTAAAGTCAATGGGGAAGCCAGCAGGGAAAGTTGTAAACTGCAATTATGCAATGTCTCATTTAATTACCACATTATTTAATGATGAATTTTCCAGTCTCAATTGTAGTCATTAGTCTAGGATTATCTGTACATTTTTTTCTATACATTTTTTTTTATTTTTAACTCAAGTTTTTTATTTAGTGATTGGTTTCATAATGTTTGTCTCTTATAAGGAGCCCTAGTGGTGCAATGGTTAGAATGCAACATTGCAGGTTAACTCTGCCCACAGTCTAGATTTCGATCTTGATGGGCTTGAAGTTGACTCAGCCTTCTACCCTTCTGAGGTCAGTAAAATGAAGACCCAGATTATTAGGAGCAATATGCTGACATTGTAAACTGCTCAGAGAGTGTAAAACACTATGAAACAGTATATAAATCTAAAGGCTATTGCTATTTTATAAAGTTGTGCTTCTTTTAAACTGCATTTTTTATTATGGCATATACAATACACCATCAAGGGCTTCTTTATGAAGGGAAGGTTATTTAATATATAGATCAGGATACTCACAAGGTAGTGTACCAAGATCAAACTGTATATGACACAAACAACCCATGATAAGTACCTAATAACTAATGATAAATTATTTTTTCCTCATAAGTTAAACAAGTAGGAAGTACAGACTGAGTTCAATTAAGAATTAAAATTAATTTTCCTCCTTTTTTCATACAGATTGGTGGGAGAGGTGGCTGGACTGTTATCCGATCTACTATGTCCATGTAAAATGGCTTTCATAATCTAATTTTATAACTATTAACCATTGAGCATCTAGGAATTTCCTTAACTTGCCCAGCTTTAAAATACGTACATACAGATGTTGAAAATTAAATAATCTCTTTGCACTTTTCACCTCTATGGCAAATGGGAAGGTTCCTCAAATAATTCCTATCTCTGTCCATCACCTGGCCTATTATTATTATCTATAGTTAAGAGACAAAGGAACTGTGTCTCTCTCTCCCCAACACATAATTTAAAAATGAGATCAACATATTTCTTAGTAAATCTACATTTTACTTCAAACATAACAAATGCCTGTTAATTGGGTTAAGTATATCCTCTATATCCAAGATAAATATATTAGCATCATTTTTCTTTTTGAATGGGACCTACTTGATTTAATTACTTGGTATTCTTTAGCAATGTGCATATGCTCAGGAGCACATTCTCTTACAAAATTTCTGCTGAATTTGAATCTCCAACAATAGTGAATTGATGACTTTCTCATTCACCTGAACTAAAACTATCTTGAGGCCAAGATATTTTCCCAAAGGGTAGAAAATGACCAAGCGTATGAAAGTTTTTAAAGCACTCAATGGATATTGGTGATGCCCTTGCTTAATAATGTTTTGGATCCGAACTCTTGTTAACTCTGCTGCACTACATGAAGGCTGATGCACCACCCTCACCAGCAAAGCTTAAGCCAAAACTATCCAAAGAGAAAGGAAATAAGACAAGACATCCTGAGAATAATAAAGCACCTTTTATGTTCTTTCATCTGGAAAAAAGTAGAACAGGATGGGATTGGGGAATGAAATAGTGGAGGTATTTACTTAAAACAATATATATATATTTATTTAAAACAATATATATGTATACACAAACACACACACTTTGATGGAGACAGGGGACCTCTCTCTCTCTCTCTCTCTCTCTCTCACGCACACACACATTCTCCTCTCTAAAATCTATATTTTCTCCAATTTGCAGTATACAGATGAAATGTCCAGCAATCAAAACAATTACAGAGTTCTAGCACAATAGCTGGTAGCCATGGTAATGGAGAATTATATACTGTTGCTAGGCTCTTTCAGCATTGTATTGGTGAACACAGACATGGGTTCTCAAAACAATTAACAATTTAAGCTTGCCCCTTTGAACCTTGTTTTTAAAGGTCAAGTTTCAACTGCAGGACATATGAGGTAAGTGTTTCTGGATAAAATAGAAAGCTTTTGCAGTACTAGGAAATCGGAGCCAAAATTGTACATCATTCACCATTAGGAATAGCTGCCAAGCCAGAGAGAATGCCTTCTTAATAAACAAAACTGCCTTGGCTTAATCTTTTCAAGTCTAAGAGAATGTCCTTGATGATTTTTCGGATTATATTGCAGATAACCCTGAAATGGCTTAATGTCTCTCAATGAAAGTTATAATTATTTTTGAAATCTAGTTTCTACTCCAATGTCAACCTACAAGGATCTAAAAAGAAGCTAGCTGAATTAAAACCATCATTACCATCATTATCAGGATTTCTCCCTCTAGTTGATCATGACACAAAGATGGAGAACCTGTGTTCTCCAAATGGTCGTGGCTGAAGGAAATTCATATTCTTCCATTTCCCATTCTTCCATTAGCAGAATATTTGTTTCTCACACACCTAATTTGGGAACTTGACCCTAATCACATTAACATAGTCCATATTTTGTGTAGTAATAACCCACACATTAAATAGCTCTGCCCTATATTCAGTTCTATTTGGACAACCATTTTATATATCTTTTCAGTTTACTTTTCTTTCTTTGGAAAAAAAAAAACATCTTTCCCACAAGCATACTTATGATGGGCATGGTCATTTCTGTTCTATCAACTATCCTTTTCAACCAGAAGCCTTATTCATTACCAATAGTTTGTAACTTACAGTAACAGTGGAGAAATTCATTAAGTGGTGCAATCATTAAACAAAACATCATGTAACCAAACCTGATTTTATTAAATTTTTTGCTGCAGTCTTTAATCAAATCACAGTGGTTGTTAAGCAAGAGATGTAACTCTGATTTATTACCTTTCCTGCTGGCTTCCCCACTGACTCTTTTGGAAGCTGGGAAGGTCACCAATAGTGATCATGTGACCATGAAATGAATGCTGTAACCATATAAATGTGATGATTGCCAAATGCCCAACTCATGATCACATGAATCCAGGGATGCTGCAGTGGTTGTAAGTGCAAGGACTGGTTGTCAGTTTTTCTGCACTGACATAAACTTGAATGGTTGCTAAATGAATAGTCATAAGTCAAGAACTACCTTGTACTAGAAAACAGCAAAACACGGGGGAAGGGGTGTTCCATGACAATTTTAGAATGCTTGATGACTCTATGCTGTGTATAAAAGCAAAATTTGGCATGGGATATTCACAAACTACATTACTGCTAAGGCTTGAAGAGAAAGATGTTAACTCTTTAGACTTTCATAGCTTTGCCTGTGAACCCAATCTCTATTTATCATTTAAGATTTTTGTTTGTGCTTGATCCTGAATCAGTATATCAGCAAGTAATGTGTCTCAATTTGTAAGAAGTAACCCTCAGTAATTCATAATCAGTTCTGCAACATTAAACCTGATTTTTATTCACATCTATCAAAAATAGACAAGCCTTTTCAAAAATAGTTAGGCCAGCATTGCAAAGATAGTGGATCAGTTTAAAACAGACTAGATAGAATGAGAAATAATGAAAATAGAAAATTTCAGTTGTTCCTAACTCCTGTTTGGATTTATGGGGTGAGAGTTGGGGACTGGTGAGAGTTAGGAGTTTATTAATATTTTTAAAAGGCAAAATTCCATCTGCACAAAGTAGATTCCAAAGAGAACAGAGCATCTAGTCAGAGCATAAAGGGAAAACCACAGAGCTTCATATATAGAAATATTGTCTAGTATACTTATACCTGACCTTTGTCTGTTGGTCTCTGTAGTGTTTCCTAACATGATGAATAGGTTTGATGTTTTTCTCCTATTACAAAAAATAAATTGCCATCCCTGAAGTCACTACTGTAATAAAGGCAGAACATGTCAGTCCCAACAATTTTAACTCAGCTTCCAATAACTTGGCTGTTACAGATATAACACATCTCTGTACATTGTGTTCCTAATGACTGGGTACTTCAAATTAAAAGACATCACCTCCATTCTCAGTCACAATATTTCACTGAGTGCACACACACACATAAATCAGAGAACCAGTTTGAGCAGGTGGTTAAAGCTCCAGGTTAGAAACCAGGAGACTGTGAATTCTAGTTTTGCCTTAGGCATGAAAGCTGGCCTAGTGACTTTGAACCAGTCACTCCCCCTTAGGCTCAGGCGGCAAGCCAGTTAGTCAATTCCTGTTGAAACCAACAGATCAATATCTGGTTGATCAGAAAAACACAGATTTTGCACCTGCAGGAAAAAAATCTAGCAAGTAAAAAGAAAACGTATATACAAAGCATTTTTGTTGATTATACAAAATTTCCATTCCATTGAATTCTTTTGCAATGTACATCTAATAAGTTTGGAAATCTAGTTAAGCATGATGGAAGTTGGGTATAGAACAATGATTCACTCATATTTTTGAATATTTTTGGCTAAGATATCTGGAGGAAGATACATTTGTGAACCAGACTATAACCAAGAATTTCTAAAATCAACTTCCTGCCTGGACTAATAGAGTCTTAAATAGATTGCTAGTCAGCCCAGCTTGATAGTTAGAAAAATGACACCATAGAAACCAGCTGAGTCTTGGTTGTTTGCTAATTTGGACACTGAACTATGTTATATGCACATGAATGCCAGAAGATTTAATAGCTCATCCTAAGAAAAATCAGCTTTTAAAGATTCAAATGTGTTTTTTCTTAATCCTTTTTGTGTCTGATACTGTGTTCGTTGTCCATCTACATTTCTACCCATAAAATTCCACTCACCTGATTATCTTCAAAAGACACCAGATGAAGTAGGGATATGCAACATGAATTAAATACATATACTTAACAAATATCATTTTTTTAAAAATGACCTCAAGCCAGTTTTTATTGTCTCCAAATTCTGTGAAAACTCAATTATATGAACAACATATATGATTTAAACTAGTTTCCATGACAGGAGCACACCTCTATGCACTTGGATTCATGATTTCCAATGATGCTATCCACATCCTCATCCTATAGTAGTTCTTAAGGTTTTATGTGTACAATTTAAACTAATCTGAATTACAAGACTCATGTTCAATTTTCCCAATATAGATGACATATTTTATTAGAATGTATACTGTAAAAGAACTTCTGAAATCTCATTTTAAAAAGGTGTTTTCTCCTTTCTTAAACCAATTTTACTGAATTTATAAAATAAAAGTGAAACTTTAATTGATTAGAGAGTGCACCACTGAATTTCTCTGCCCCTAAGAACTAGGGTCAGAGAATATACCCCAACCTAGGCATGCAAGTACAGATTTAGAAACTTTGTCCATAAACCCATGACCAGCTGATAGAAGTGAGGGAATGAATTTAAAATACATTAAGCAGCAAATGCAAATGACTGGATCTGTCCAGGCTGTATGGCATCAAGGGACTACAAAATGCTGAACATATTTCTTTAATTCATTAAAGAAACCGGTTAGCTGCTAGGAATTCACTATCCTGATCATTAATTTGCAAAGAAAATACATAATATTCAGATAAAAGCTAGACATGCTTTATGCATTCAGACTGGTTTGTGGGTGAAATATGAATTTGGCAGTAAATTCCTCATCTGTACATTCTGAATGGCTATTTGAACAATAATAATTTTCAAATTACCTTCTGTTATATGAAGTGCATGCATGGAAAAGTACATATATATATATAAAGGTTATTCCAAGTATCAGGCCCTATAAGTCAATCTCTATGTATGTTTCAGTCCCCACCCCCACCCTGGGCCAGGAAAATGTTACTGTATTTAGGAGTGTTCAAAAGTCATGCATCAAACAAGTAAGAAAGAGTTTAGAAAAAAGGGCAACCAAGTTGAAAAATTAATGTAATTTATGTAATAGTCTACAAGGCCTGACTTTTGGTATATCCTCTGGGTTTGTGTGTATGTTTGTGTGTGTACGTGTGTGTGTATACACACACACACACACAAATTTTCTCAGTCAATTGAATTTGCTGTTCCTTTTGTATAAAATGTGAAGTTACTCTGACCCCAAAAAAGGACACAGGAAATGAGCCTCAGTGAATAATGTGGAACAGAAATCCCAAATAACAGTTTGATTGCTATACCAGACTGTGAAGAAGACACAAACAATCCTTTATCCTGATTTGCTTTGCAGTCATACTTTGTTTTCTAAGCAGAAACTATGTTAATAGTAACTACTGCTTAGGACCTAGAGATGCCTCATTAACTACAGTCTGTTTCTGAAACTCTGTGTTTTCTTTGTTCAAGAACATTATTCAAAAACATGCTCCTTTGCCTAACAGCTTGGTGCAAGACTAGTAGATACAGTTCTAAAGCTCTTTGTTAAACTCTTGTTGAACAGTGTAACCCAACCACGGGCGCCCACCACTCACACTATAGCCAGTATTCTCAAAGAGACCAATAGCAGCCTTAGCCACCACGGAGACCTGGGCCACCAGGAATCTGAAGCCCTGTGCACGAGCTTGTGCCTCTAGAAAATGAAGGAGGCACCGACCCACCCCAGAGCGCCGGTACCATCGGCTGACAGCCAAGCGCTTGAGCTCAGCAGTGTGTGGCTCTCTATCAAGAGGCTCCAAAGCCACACAACCACACACATCATCATCATCATAAACAGCCACCCACAGCCCACGATGGCTTGCACTGTAATAGGCATGCAAATGTTTAAGGTCTGGTGAGCGCCACAGCAGAAGTTTCAGAGCCACTACAGTGAGGAGTACTGGCAGCACAAGGGCCACCACAAAGGAGTTCAGGAAGAAGCGTAGTCCACTGCTCACAACTGCCATCAGTAACAAGGCTAGTGGCCGTGTCAGCACATAAAGTATCAAGCGGTTTTCTGTATCTTTGAATCCATCCTGATAGGAGAGAAATAGAAGAACATTAAAAAGTCCTCAGAGTTTAGAGGAACCCAAATGCCAGAGAAGTTATCAGGCATACATAACTGTCTCTAACACATCTCAGAAGGCCATTGTACTCTTACCTGGCCCTATTCAAAATCAGCCAGTGAGCTTTACCATGGAGTGATGATATTCTTGGTTCTAACTTAGCATTCAAAGCGACTTGATCATATTGTCACAAATCATACTCCACTAATTAAAATCACACTTATTACTTCCATGTTACAAGAACAAGTCAAAAGCAACAGGCATATCTTTTAGGAAAACTTTTATGCTGTTAAACTTTGTAACTGAAAAATTCCAGAAAATATTCTGGACAGATTTGGGACTCTCCAAGACTAGACCCAAAAATACAATTAGACTTCTCATATGTCTTTGATAACAGCTGAATCCATGAAACTTTCAGGGCACAAACACAAGTATTATCAATTTGTTGAAGATATCTTTTGAAAAAATGTTTCATATGGATCAGCACACAGAAACTTCTCAACAGAAAAGCAGGAGTACTGATATAGCTGGATCCCTGTTTCTCCTCCATCTCACCTTCAAAAGTTCCAAAACAATGGGGGCTTCATCCTCTCTCATTTCCCTGATTAACAGCTGTTCCGGGTCCAAGGTAGGCATATTGTTAGCAACTGATACCTAAAAGGAAGAAAAGTTCAAATGTTGACTGAAAAATAATTTCAGACTACAGTGAGAGAGAACTTTTGCTTAAGTGGGAAAATAAATGCTCCACAAAATTCCAAGAGAAGGCAAACTCTGACTCTTCCATAAAAGGTACTCAGCCACCATCCCATCACCTCCACCATATAAAATAAATAGAGTTTGGTAAATATACATAAGCAGGGAATGTCTCTTCACATCTTTGTAACCATTCCTACTTTACATTCTCCTCCCCATATTCTTCACATATGTTTAAACTACAGTGCAGAGCCTTCTTTAAATTATGAGCAAAATTGTGATAAGTATCACCCCGAAACAGGTGATATCTAACAGGAAAAAAGAAAAATTATTGCAAACTATTTTATTATAAAATCACAGGTAGAGACTGATATCACACAGGGCTAAACCACAGATTGTTGATTACAGCACACTAGATGGATGCCCAACTGCACTTTAAGCTAAAACACATCATGGTTTAGTATGATGCACGAATCCCTAAAGAAACACTGGTTAGCTCTGGGCCATCTGCTCTTTTTCTGGCTTCCTTTTTCTCTTTTGTTATACAGGGTCCCTTTCTTCAAAGGATTATTCTGAAAGGGATTATTGAGAAAATGATGGGTTTTAGTGCTTTATATCTACTTCAAATATGATTTTTCCTTAGAGTGAATTCACAAGTAGCTTTATTAGATGCAAACGAGCAATAAAATTTTCCTCATAAAATTACAACAAGAAAATCGCAACACCTGTATTTTGGCTAGCTAGCCCTTCCCTTTCATAAGAGGGCCAAAGCAGCCACGCCCCCTCCGCAAAAATAAAAGCACCTTTTCTTTTATCATAGTCACTATTGTTGAACCTTTCACGATCTCCCCTCCGTTCCCAATGGACTCACCCTGTTTGCAGGTTACCGCTGACTTCTCCCCCTGCAGAGAGGCGCATGGGATATCCCAGTAATAGTTACATTCTCCACTCCTCCTTCCAGAAGGACGGGGGGGTGAGTAGGAAACAATCCTGACCCAAAGGCCCGCTAATTCAATCGTTCTCTTTCCAGACTCGGGGCTTCACTGAATATGCGCATGCGCTATGTTCTTTCTTCTGCGACCCCTATCCCTTCCTACGCAGCACTTAGTTACTGTTACTAGGCGGGATCAATGTGGCCTCTCGAGTATGCCAAGACCGTCAAACCGGAGTTGTAAAGATGTCCGAGCCCTTTCCTTCCTTGATCTTTTTCAGGAGAAAAGGGAAACCTAGGAAAAAGGGGATGACTAACCTCCTTTTTCTTTATTGTATAACAAAGAACTATCGGATGCATAAATCCTGGCAGGCAGGAATTCAACAGATAAAACTGCACAAATACTGGCAGACAAATTCAACAGGTAAATCTATACATAGAAAAGTATACATTAACCCTTTGCCTAACTGTATGTTATGGCAGTATTAAAAAACGTTATCCTTAATCCCGAGGAGCCTACGTTTTTCGCACATGGTGGGGGCAAAAGGCTTTGGGATTAAGATTATATAGGATTTTTTTGCCTAAGCATGCAAATTACATTCATAAACTAGCAAGCCAGCCTTGATCTATGTGTGTGTGTTCTAATCTGCATATATCCTGAGGAATTGCAGTGGCAACCCATTTCCATATCATGGCAAGCAGAGTACCTAGATTCAGTTATATGTATCACCAATAGTTTAGTTTGACTTAAAAATGGATTTTATACATATTAAAATTTTACCTTCCCCCTGTCTCGGAATATAGTTGGCTGCATATTTAAATATTGATTTATACAATAGGTTTATAGAGCCCCAGTTTTGAAACCTTCGGAAGCCACAGAAATTCACTATGTGGCTGAGCCAGTAATTTTGAGTTCAATCAACCTCAAGATTCAGCTGTGGGATAAAATGAAGGGCTTACTCATCTAAGCCACCTTAAATTCTTGGAACATAGGATAAAATAAATACAAACAAAATGTATACCAATTTGGAGTAATGGTGAAGGCAGTAAGCTTCTTTGCATCCAGCTGGTTAATGTTAAATGGAGTCCTGAAAAAGAAAATCAGTGCTGTTCTGAAAATATTTTGTGGTTTAAAAGCTGTTGCTGAAAATAAAAGACAGGTTCCAGTACCAAACCAGTGTATAATTAATTAATTTGTGCTTCATTATACAATATGCATATTACTTGTTGAAAATGTTGAGTAATTTATTTTCAGTATCCATTGTATGTGGTACATAGGTGGTCTGAATGCACCCTCCTATGGTGAGAAGAAATACTGAATACATGAATACATGATGTGTTAAATTTATGTACAGCTATTCATTGGGTCACAATGGTAACATAAGTAGCAACTATGGTAGCAAAGCTGTGATAAATAAGTTCTCTGATAAATAAGTTACTAAATTACTAAACATTACATGTACATTTGAAACTCTTTTATTACATTAATCTATACTGCCGGGACATTTAAATGCATGCTTAATGCCCCAAACCTCATTAGGCAGAAATTTTCTCTTACATTGATTTTGAGATTAAGTACAGGAGGACAGAGGGCTGGTTCTATACATCGTTAAAGGTCTGGGCTATTGTTCTTAGAACAGTACATTTTCCAGTTGTCTTCTGTTTAACACATAATAATAATAAAGTTGGAAGGGACCTTGGAAGGTCATCTAATCCAGGGCTTTTCAATCTTTACACCCATTGTACCACTTTTAGGATATGGCAATATCCAAGTACCACCAGTCGCCTAGCAAGGTGTCAAAAACTTGATGACCAAAAAAAAAAAGGAATAAAGTGATAAAGTACAGGTAGTCCTCAACTTACAACAGTTCGTTTAGTGACTGTTTGAAGTTACAATGGCACTGAAAAAAGTGCCCCCCAAGCCACAGCCAAGCAAGACACCTGCCTGCCCGCCCGGTGGCGCTCTTCCTCCTGTCCGAGGTTTTCATTGTTGTGAGCATTTCTGTTGAGGATTGGCAGCGGGGGTGGGGTGGGAGTGTTTTTATTCCCCCCCCCCATCTGCTGGGTGGTTGCAGCAGGTTTTGGTCACTTCACATGACATTGGGACACTGTGACTGCCATAAATATGAATCAGTTGCCAAGCATCTGAATGTAAATCACAAGACCCTGGAGATGCTGCAACATTCCAGCTGATCGGTGCTTCTCCTGGGCTCAGCAGAAGTGCCAGGATCAGCACCGAGCTCCAGCTGGAGCCTGGCGCTGATCCTGGCGTTTCCACTGAGCCCTGACAGCCCCAAAGAAGCGCCGATCAGCTGGAAAGCGGCACTGATCCTGGCACTTCCACTGGGCCCTGACAGCCCTGCAGCTCCAGCCATCTCTCGCTCAGGCTTGTGCGGTGCTGCCACCTGTTCAGCTCATTCCCCTCCCCCGCTACCACTTTTCTTTGGATGGTCACGTACCACCTGCCAGGTGTCAATGTATCACAGGTGGTACCCGTACCACTGGTTGAAAAGCCCTGATCTAATCCAACCCCCTGCTCAGACAGGAAACTCTATACCAGGGGTGTCAAACTGCCGGCCCATGGGCCGGATGCGTCAGGCGGAAGCTGCACCCACCCCATTGCTGGCAATGGCAAAACCGTCCCAATACATTGTATGACATCACGTGACATCATGAGTTTGACATGTCTGCTCTATACCATTTCAGACAAATGGCTGTTCAGTCTCTTCTTAAAAACTTCCTGTGTTGGAGCATTCACAACTTCTGGAGGCAGCTTGTTCCACTGATTAATTGTTCTCCTTAGTTCTAGGTTGCTTCTCCCTTTGGTTACTTTCCATCCATTACTTGTCCTGTCTTCAGGTGCTTTGGAGAATAGCTTGACTCCCTCTTTGTGGCAGTCCCTGAGATATTGGAACACTGCTATTATGTCACCCCTCGTCCTTCTCTTCATTAAACTAGACATACCCAATTTCAGCAACCGTTCCTTATATATTTTAGCCTCCAGTCCCCTAATCATCTTTGTTGCTCTTCTCTGTACTCTTTCTAGAGTCTCAACATCTTTTTTACATCGTGGTGACCAAAATTGGATGCAGTATTCCGAGTGTGGCCTTACCAAAGCATTATAAAGTGGTATTAACGCTTCACGTGATCTTGATTCTATCCCTCTGTTAATGCAGCCCAACACTGTGTTGGCTTTTTTGGCAGCTGCAGCACATTGCTGGCTCATATTTAAATGATTGTCCACTAGGAATCCGAGATCCCTCTCAAAGTTACTACTATTGAGCAAGGTACCCCCTATACTACGTATACCTGTGCATTTGGTTTTTCTTGCCTAAATGTGGAACCTTACTTTTTTCACCCTTGAATTTCATTTTATTAGATAGCGCCCACTGTTCAAGTCTGTCCAGATCCTTCTGTATCTTAAGCCTATCTTCTAGAGTGTTGGCTATTCCTGCCAACTTGGTGTCGTTTGCAAATTTGATGAGTTCCCCATCTATCCCCTCATCCAAATCATTGATGAAGGTGTTGAAGAGCACTGGGCCCAGAACAGAGCCCTGGGGCACCCAATACACACTTCCTTCCATGTAGATGCAGTTCCATTGAGGACCACATGGTCCTCAAAAGCTGGTCAGCCAGGTACAAATCCATCTGGTGATGATTCTGTCTAACCCACATTTTTCTATCTTATCGAGTAGTAGGTTGTGGTCTACTTTATCAAATGCCTTACTGAAGTCCAAATAAATTATATCCATAGCATTCCTCTGGTCCACTAATTTTGTCACCTGGTCAAACAATGCAATAAGATTTGTCTGGCATGATCCGTTTTTGACAAACCCATATTGGCTTTTGGTAATTACTTTGTTTGCCTTTAGGTGTTCACTGATTCATTGCTAGATTATCTTTTCCAAGATCTTCCCAGGTATTGAGGCCAGGCTGATAGGTCTGTAATTTCCTGGATCCATTTTTTCCCCTTTTTTGAAGATGGGAACTACATCAGCTCTTTTTCAGTCCTCTGGTAGTTCCCCAGTGCTCCAGGATCTTTGAAAAATATAGTTCAATGGTTCCGAGATCACATCTGCCAGTTCCTTGAGAACCCTGGGGTGTAATCCATCTGGTCCTGGTGATTTGAACTCGTCTAAGGTGGACAGGTGCTCACTTACCATTTTCTTGCCTATCTTAATTTGTGTTTCTAATCTGTTTTTTACGGTACTGTTTTTGATAGGTTGGACTTTTTTTCCCTTTGTGTAAATACGGATGCAAAAAACGAGTTGAGTATTTCTGCTTTCTCCCTATTGCTTGTCACCTTTTTGCCACTTTCTCCCACTAATGGACCAATCATTTCCTTAACTTTTTTCTGTTTTTTTACATGTTGAAAGAAGCTTTTTTTGTTATTTTTGACTTTTGTTGCAAGCCTTAATTCATTTTGAGCCTTAGCTTTCCTCACTTCACCTTTGCAGGCTCGGGCTATTTGCTGATATTCTGCCTTAGTTATATGCCCCTCTTTCCACTTTTTATACTTGTATTTTTTCTCTTTCAATTTATCAGTGAGTTCTTTATGCAGCCAAGCTGGTTTCTTTTGAGACCTATTTTTCTTCTTCGTTGGTATTGTGCTAGACTGGCCTTTTATAATCTCACTTTTCAAAATTTCCCAAGCTTCTTGAGTTGTTTTCCCCTTGAGGATTCTCATCCATGGAATCCTTCCCAATCTCTCTCTAAATTTGTTGAAATTAGCTCTCTTAAAGTCCAAAACTCTGTGTTCTATTAGCTTGTGCTTGCATAATGTTGAATTCTAATATTGCGTGATCACAACCCCCAAGGCTCCTGTGGTTTCAATAACTATCATTTCATCTCTGTTAGTGAGAATTAAATCCAATATGGTTGATCCCCTGGTTCCCTTCTCTACTTTTTGGGAGACAAAGTTGTCTGCTAGATTTGTCAGGAATCTGTTTGATCTTCCACTTGG